TTCCAGTCATTATGTCACTTTTTAAGTAATATGAAAAAAAATAAATTTTTTAATGTATATGTGGCTACATCAAAAGCTGCTGCACCATTACTTTTTTTAAAAAAGTAAAAATAAACTATTAGTTATTTTATTATTATATTTATAATATAATATGAAAGTGGAACCATTTTTTAAAATAAAAAAATATTGCAAGAATCTAGGAAAATAATGGAAAAATTACAAATTTGATGATTTGAAAATAGGACATATTTTTAAGGAGTTAATTACCGATTTGGTCCCTCGACTATGAAGATTTCACCAATTTGGTCCTCGACTATCAACATTCCTCAATTTGGTCCCCGACTATGGTATTTTTATCCAATTTGGTCCTAAGTGTTATTTGTCGGTCAAACCTAAAGGGAAATTTGGAGATTATTAAAAAGAATTATTATGACCACATCATCTTCAATCCAAATTATTATTATCATCTCCAATTTTCAGCCAACATCATCATCATCAACGCCAACATGCCATTTCTTCACTAGACTTCAGACTTCATTCTCAACATCGACTCAACACAACCCGATCACCTCTCAACTACACCGCCATCCACAACTTCGCCGATGCCGACGGAACGTTCCGCCGTCGCTGCACGCCAGTCAACGCTACCTCCAACTGCTACTGCTAGGTTAGCCAAGAGAGGGGAATGAAGGTAGAGGTGGGAGCTGCTACTACCGCCGCGACAGGAAGCGAGAGAGGGAGACCGTTGCTCGCCACTGACCTGCTCTGCTTCACTGGAAAAGGACATCGCCAGAGTTGCTTTTGAGATGAGAGGGATAGGCGAGGGAGAGAGATAGAGGTCCACCGTCGTGCCTTGCTGCTGCCCCTGGTCAACACTTCACTGATCTACAGTTTGCTCGTCGACGAGTGAGGAGTGAGGGTGAGAGGTTGCCAGAAATGAGCTAGCTAAAACCAGAAATCACCGCAGATCCGCACGCGTCGGTGTTCTGCTCGCCCACTAATGTGGGGTTATAGTTGTTGCTTTAAAGACAGATGATTTCTCAACTCATTGCTCAATTTTTTTACTGGAGTTGTGCAATTAGGGTTTCGTATTTAGGAATTCAACAATTAGAAGGTTTTGTTTGTCTCAAATAAGGCAAAGCGTCGAATCAATTTAGATAGTCAAGAAAGGAAACAACGTGTAATTACAAAAATATCCTCAAATTTATTGCCTTAAACAAGCTGGTTTGACTTTAGGACCAAATCGAGTAAAAATACCATAGTCAGGGACCAAATTGAAGAATTTTGATAGTCGAGGACCAAATTGGTTAAATCCTCATAGTCGAGGGACCAAATTGGTAATTAACTCTTTTTAAAAGTGATGGAGTATTGCAGGGATAAGTATAGCCTAAGCTATGTCACTTTACAAACGGCCAAAAAAAATATAATAACCATACATATATCACATTAAGTACAAAACTCACGCATATTAACATGACGCACATTAAGTACAAATCTCAGGCACATTGAGTACAAATCTCACGCACATTAAATATAAACCTCACGCATATTAATCCACCGCACATCCGCACGGGAAGCAACAAATGCACCTGATCCCTTCCCTATATGTATGTGTGTGTGTGTGTGTGTGTGACGAGAGAAACCTATAACTATTACCTTATTCGAGAATGTACACTAGGTAAGCTCATCTTGTATAATAGGTCGCAAATCACATAAGAGAGGTAATTCGGACTCAAAAAAAAAAAAAAAAAAAAAAAAGGTAATTCGGACTCAAACGAAAGGATATTGACAAGAATCAAACGTGTGACATTTAAGTACGAGAATCATGTTCCACCAACTTGACCATTACTTTCGCAGCGGTCAAATTTAATTAATTTCATACGGTGGCAATCCTTAACAGGGCGTTTGGTTGGAGAAATTTTAAATTCCATTCCCACTTAATTCCCACCTAATTCCAAAGGCCATTAAATTCCGTAGTTTGGTTGGAGGGAATTGCAATTCCCCCATTTTCATGGAATTAAAATCCCATGTTCCCCCCTGGAATTTTAATTCCCGGGAAAAAAAGATGGTGATAAGTCAAAATTACCCCTTCCTTTTTTAAATTAAAATTAATGGCTAACAACAATAATAGACATTTTGGACTTTATACTACTTATTCCCTTTCAATTCTCATGTATACCAAACATTGGAATTGAAATTTCCAGTAATTCTATTCCTGTCAACCAAACACAGGAATTTAAATTCCTACTTTATTCCCAGTAATTCAACTCCCATGGAATTACAATTCATTTCCTACATAATTCCTCCCTCCAACCAAACGCCCTGTAAATGTTAACATAATTTTTTAAAAATCTTTTCTAATATTGATTATTGAATGCCAAATTTAAAAAATAAAATAAAATTTATATACGCGTAAGATGTAAGAATTTCATGGGCATCATGTGAGACCTAACAATTTTGGACTTGTCTTATAAAGGTATGCAATAATTATATGTTAATTAACTTTATGGTCTTACCTAATCACCTTAATGACTAGGTTCTGAGTATATGTGTCAGTGAAATAAATGTGCCCCCAACAACAATCACGACTTTTTAATTTTATATTTATTTTTATTTACGATATTTTTGTCATTAAATTTCATATATTGCCATAATTACATTGAATTATACTAATTAATTTTAAATTTATTTAATACTATGTTTTATATCACGAGAATTGATTTTTTTATACTAATTGATTCGTTTTCACACGACTTACTATTTTATTTAGGTAGAAAAGAACAAAATTTTAAAATGAGGAGATTGCTTACTCACTATTCTACTAACTAATAATCATTAGTAGGGTAAAATTCACGAGTTGATCATGATAATCTAACTCACACCAGCTATTTCTTAACGATATAATTATATTGTGTTATTTGATCTCTCTCTCTCTCTCTCTCTCTCTCTCTATATATATATATATATATATATATATATATATATATATATATATATATATAATATGAAGATTCATGTGAGAATATATATGCTCCAAGTTAAAAAAAAAAGTGATGATTAATCTAGTCCATTCATTTTAATATATCAACCGTCAAGGGTTGTTGGATAACAAATAAAAAAATTGTGAGGCCAATTTTATAAATATTTTAAACTTGAAAGTTTGCAATAATTATAAAAAGAAAAATAACACTTTTAGTCCTTAAATTGTTTCACATTTAAAAATTTGGTCCAAATTAATTGATTTAGAATATTTATGTTGTCCACTATGTTGCACTTTTAGTCCCTGCTATTATATATACTTATCATTTTTCGTTTGCAAACTCTTTTTTGTTAAGTTATTTTATCATTTAAATCAATATCTGTGGTTAAAGTGCAACATTATGAATATTTAAGGGACATTGGAGCATTAATCTTGTTTTAATTGTAAGAATCGCTATATTTTATGATACAATTTAAAAACAAAAGCTTAAAACTAAAAACTAAATGCTAATTAAGTAATTCAAGGCCTCTTGAAGGTAGTCGTATTTTTAGAGTTCAGACTTCTGATTAAAAAATGGGAAGAGATTTACGCTTATATCATTCATGCATTTGATAGGTTAATAATTATCAATGTAATTTGAAAGAAAAAAATTAACTTTTTAGTTTTTATTATATTATTTTCACCCTATATATAATTGCACTTTAGACTTTTCAATTTCAGCACCCAACAAACAATTGACCACCTGGTTTCTGATTTCTTGGGGTTTTATTTTTTGTGAAAAAGCAAATACCAATTTTGATTTTACGAGTATTAGCAAAATGACAATTTTGCTCCACATGTTTTATTTATATTAATTTTTATTCACGATTATTGCTTTAGTACCAATTCTCATTCACGACTGTTATTTTAATACTAAAATTCATTTGCCCCTCCATTTTTTTTTTTTTGAAAGGGTTGCCCCTCCATTTAAGACATGCCGAAATTTAAAATTTTCAAGGACATTTTCGTCCTTTTCAAGAGACCTTGAATTACTTAATTAGCGTTTTGATAGAAATTAAATATGTGGATCAAAATTGTCATTTTGCTAATACTCGTGAGACCAAAATGGATATTTACTCTTTGTGAAATTATAATTAATGATTTCCAAATTAAAGTCAGTCTTCAAAAGGAAATAAATATATACTTTTTGAATAGAAACAAGTGAAAGGAGTAACTCACACGTATATAGAAAGAATGATTAAATAATACTGCGTAATTAGATTTCATGTAACAAGCGTGAATTAATATGATTTGTCAATTTTCTACCCAAAAAAAAAAAAAAGATTTGTCAATTTAGCTAGGATTCTGTATATTTATGTAATTCTTCCCCAGTCATAGACATATCATTATTTTCTTTTTATTTTCCCTCTATCATTATTTTCTAACCCTAGTCATAGACATGTCAGATTGGTCCACATTTTTCACGAAAAATTTAATTCTCATCATTTGTTCATATATATATATATATATATATATATATATATATATATATATATATATATATATATATATATATATATATATATATATAATATTACTTAATTAATTAAATTTAAAATGTTTTTATTTTCAAAAATAAATTAATTTTTTAATTTTTGTTTTGACTCTATTTTTTTTGGAACAGTCACTATTCATTAGTGTGTGCATCCTTAAAAAAAAAATTACAATTATATATGAGAGATAAATTACAAACGTGATATATATAAATGAGTCCCTTCCATTCAACCACACCCTTCAGGTTATATATAATTAATTGATAAAAAAACAAAAGTTATAACTTTTTTGTCTAATAAAATTAAAATATACATGATAAAAGTGCACTTAGAATTTCGGCAGTATTTTAACACTTCGGATTGTCAGTATATAGTGTATACGGTATGCCCCACAAGGAAAACAGGGCCCTCCTCCATCGCAGCCCTTAAGATTCGAACATTTCTGCGGCTCTGATTTCCTCAATTCATTTACCTACGAGTACGCTTTGCTTAAATGTCAAAGAACTCAATTTGGTGCTGATCTTCCAACGCCATTCTCCCTTCTCGTTGCTCTATCGCTGGTAACTTTCTATACGATGTGCAGATTTTAGTTTATCTTTGTGTGTGCCGCAAGTATAAACATATGAGCCGTGTTGTTTTTCTGTGTTTTTTTTTTTTTTTCGAATGTTCTTAGAGGATAAAGATTTCAACTTTGTGCTCAATTTGATTCTTTTTTGCTCTTAGAGACTGTTAATGTGAGCATGGCGTTTGTTTAAATGTTTAATCCATTTTTTGTGCTTCTTCTTTGTTCATTTGCTCTTAGAAGCTTTTGCTATACTGAGTATACTCCTTTAGTCCTTTGCTTGAAGATTTGACTTGTTTTTTTTTTTTTTTTGGGTGATTTCATGGAATTCATTTTTTGTGCTTGGCTTGCTTGATATGTTGCAGGGTTTGATATCTGGTTCTTGAATTTGGTATCTGAAGCGTTTGGAGTTGTAGAGATTTTGGTTTGTGTGGTGGCTGGAAAGTTGGGATTTTGAGATAGTGGTGGTGTGGGGTTCTTGTTTCTGGGAGTGTAGATGGTCATGGATAAGAATTTTGGAGGTTTTTATCAAGACACTTGTGGGGTTGAATTAGGGGATGAATCCCTGCAAGTTTTTCTTGATCAGGAAGCTATTAGTGGGTTAAGTGTTAATGATGCCTTCATGGATGTGAATGTGGGAAAAAATTCGAAAGATGGAGGCCTATTGAATTTTTTGGATCCGAATTTGGTGAGCAATGGGAGAGATGGTGAGACTGTGGTGGGCCAAAACCAAATCACCGAGAATGTGAATGCTGTAACCCCACCATCCTTTCCATATCCCGATTCGAATAATGGTCTGGGAGTTGATGGTGGTTCCTTGGAAGATAGAAGTGAACTTGCCTTTCCACCGCTTCAGTCTGATCCAGGATTGAATGTTGTAGCCCCGTCAAGTGAGGGTGATGGTCTCGAGGATTATGATTTTAGTGATGTAGTGCTTACGTTTATTAGCCAGATGCTTATGGAAGAGGAGATGGGAGAGAAGGCCTGTATGTTTCAAGAATCTGCCGCCCTCCAAGCTGCAGAAAGATCTTTGTATGAGGTTATTGGAGAGGAGTACCCATCGGCCCTCGATCAAAATGGAAACAATGGTGATTCTGGTTTGGTACAACCGAATTGGGATCCTGATTCCATCGAGTGTGAAAATTCTACTGGACAAATTGCCCCTGTTGGTGTCACTTTGCGGACTAATTCTCAGTCATCCTACAGTTCATCGAGCAGCTCGGGCACTGCAAATGATGGGCATTTGGATTCACCTGTGAGTACACTCAGGATCCCCGACGTTCATGTGGATTCTCCTCTGACTACACTCAGGATCCCCGAGATATTCAACAGCACTGAATCTATTATGCAGTTTAATAAAGGGGTTGAGGAAGCGAGTAAGTTCCTTCCTAATGCCAATGGCTTTCTTGTTGATGTTGGTTATATTGGGCTCGAGAAGGATAATGAGAATCAGGTCTCTCGTGAAGGGTCGAGGAGGAAGAAGAATCTGCATTATGAAGGTGAAGATTTGGACGAGGGGAGAAGTTACAAGCAATCAGCAGTCTCTTCTGAATCAACCGTTATACTAGAAATGTTCGACAAGGTTTTGCTATGCAGTGGTGGAAAAAACGAATCTGCTCTTCGACAGTCTTGGCAGAACGTGTCGAGTAAAAAAGCAATGGATAACGATCTTCCAAAAGGATCCACCGGGAAGAAATCCCGTGGAAGAAAGGGCAGTAAAAGCGAGGTTGTAGACTTGAGAACCATCTTGACGCTTTGTGCACAAGCCGTTGCTGCTGATGACCGAAGGACCGCCCACGAGTTTCTCAAGCAGATTAGGCAACACTCGAGCCAAACGGGTGATGGAATGCAAAGGTTAGCTCATTATTTCGCGGATGGCCTCGAGGCACGAATGGCGGGTTCGGGGACCCAAATATATAAGGCGCTTATATCTATGCCTACATCAGCTGCTGATGTTCTGAAAGCATACCAATTATATCTTGCTGCCTGCCCATTTAGGAAGATCTCGAACTTCTTCTCGAATAAGACAATTATGAATGTAGCTAAAGATGCTAAATCGGTTCACATAATTGATTTCGGTATACTTTATGGTTTTCAATGGCCTTGCTTCATACAACGTCTCTCGAGTAGGCCTGGTGGACCCCCCAAGCTTCGAATAACCGGGATTGATTTCCCACAGCCAGGTTTCCGGCCAGCAGAGAGGATTGAGGAAACTGGGCAACGCTTAGCCAATTATGCTGAGAGGTTCAATGTTCCGTTTGAGTTCAATGCTATCGCCCAGAATTGGGAAACGGTTAAAATCGAGGATCTTGGGATCAACGGGGACGAGGTAGTTGTGGTGAACTGTCTATATCGGTTTAGGAATCTACTTGACGAGACGGTGGTTGTGGACAGTCCTCGAGATATTGTCTTGAGCCTCATCCGGGAGTTGAATCCCGCTGTTTTTATAACGGGGAGTGTAAATGGCGCTTATAATGCCCCCTTCTTTATCTCGCGATTCAGGGAGGCGCTTTTTCACTATTCGGCTTTGTTCGATATGCTCGAAGCTAACATCCCCCGCGAAATTCATGAGAGGGTGCTGCTCGAGAAGACTATATTTGGTCGGGAAGCAATGAATGTCATTGCGTGTGAAGGTGCTGAGAGGATCGAGCGGCCCGAAATATATAAGCAGTGTCAGATTCGGTACACGAGGGCAGGGTTCCGCCAACTTCCTCTGAACGATGAAATAATGCAAATGTCGAGACACCGCGTCAAGGCATACCACAAAGATTTTATAATCGACCAGGATGGAAAATGGCTGCTTCAAGGATGGAAAGGGCGCATTGTATATGCGCTCTCGACATGGAAAGCGGCTTATTAAACATGTTCGTATCACCCATGCTCGGCTTATGTACTAGCCTGCATTTACGACTTTCAGAAGCTGAGGTATCGACTTTATATTTGACTATCTCATTGTGGTGTCGATTTCGCTATGGACTGCCTACCATAACTGGAAACAAAAAACGATTTATTGCCTTACTTAGGGGACCATTTTAAATGAACTTTAATTAGCAAACAGAGAATTATGATTTATGACAGACATTGTTGCAGGAATATTGGGTTTCTCATTGTATGCATGTTTACTATATATGCTTCCATATATGGCTAATGATCATGTTAGTGAAATGATATAGCTATAAATGTACTAAGCATGAAGTTTCATTACTAGATTCAATGATTAATGCACTAATGTTCATTTATTCTAGTGGTGTTTTGAATGGTATAGACTGCATTTAATTACTTCAATTTTCTAGTTTTTCATTCTCCATTCTCTGATCTTAAATTAGAGAAGGAAAGGGAAAATGGTAGTTTTTGCCATTAAGTTATATGGAAAATATGGAAATAGTTTACTTAGGCTTTTAAGTTATTTGTATAACTACTCTCCATTATTGAGTTTTCTTCAAAGTGATGTTTTTAAGCCAACCATTGTCCAAAATTGTACAATTGTCATGTTTTAACCAAAATTATACTTTTTCCTATTACACTTCAAAGACTCAACACATTGTCTTAACTTTACATAAAACCATGATTTTCGTTGTTTTAACCCTAGCATAGAACCATGATAGCCTCGGGACTAAAAGTGTTACTTTGCACTTGATGTGATAAATGCGGTTGTCTCCACAAATACGTATCAATAGCAAATCCGGTCATAGATAAGCCATTCTATTGTCTGCTTGTTGGTTTAAGTCTTAGAGCTCTGATTACGTGACAGGGGTCAAAGGATCCGAGCTTAATATAAGCATGTAGAGGGTGCCAAAAAAAAAGTCCCATCGCCAAACATTTAATGCGGTATTTATATGAGGCTAAAAGGAACACATGTCGGTTCCTCGGCATGCTTGCACATAGAGCTCATGCACAGGGGAAGGTCGGAGGCTTCATAATTTCCTCCACATGTGTTAAGGTTTCTGATGTTCTCGTTTTTGCTGCGATTAGTTTTGATTAGAGGAATAAGGCTTAGTTAAGATATTCTAAGTGAATGAGGTCGGGTAGTTCGTCCCGACCTGATATGGTTGGGTCGGTCTAGTGGACGGACAAGTACTGTTGTCGAATAGGCCCATGATCGATAGTCTATGTCCGGTCGGATCGGGGGCCTTGAGGTTGGTGAATGGTCATGAATACTTCCTCTTACCAGTTTTTCAGATACCGAGCAGGTATGACGCGTTCGGGTGGCGAGACCGGGAAATATTCCCTATCAGCACTAGTAACTTAAGGATCGAATCAAAAATTTTATAAACTCAATGGCAGACTTTGTGTGAAGCCCATCAGGACCACAAGGGGTAAACTAGTTTAAATTGCTCAAAGCAAACTGGTTAAACCAAGAAGGTCAATTGTCAATATACAACAACTCACAAACGAAGTCGAATTTGAAATTCTGTGATTACCAAGCCAATTATCCAGCCAACTCAGCTAAGGTTATCCCTAACGAAGAACGGAGTTCCGGTGCTTGTGATATTGGAGAATTGGTGAAAACCAGTCACTCTCCATTGTCCCACCATGTTAAGTGGGATTTATGAACCATGCATGCATGCACGCAACAGAACCTCCTGGGAAAGTACATATATGGTATTTGAGTAGTGACGACACATCTAAGCTTATCTAGTATTCTATGAATGGAATTCTGCAGCTGTCGTAATCCGGCATGGGAGTAAACACTGAACCATGTTTATGGTCTTCAACGTTACACCGTCCACTGTCGATCGATCTTATCAGATTAATGTGAAATAACGCCCCACCTCACAGCATTCACGTTTGGTGTTACAAATTTTTTTTGGCTATCCGTCCATCCACCTATCGAAATATTATTGGCTTGGACGGTTACCTTGGTGGACGAAAAACCTAAAAAAGGAAAAATTCAAATCACTCACATTATTTGTGCTTTCAACGGAGTGCTAGTAGGGTAACTCCAACCAAGTTGATTAAGCTATTGATTTAGTAATTATAAAATTATAAATTTATGTCCCAAGACCCGCGATTGATTAATCTTCTTGGTTTGAGTCGGTTAGATATGGACAACCTAGACTGGTTTACCTCTTTGTCGTCATTTGCCAACTAAGATCACAAGGGCAGGGTTTACCCAATGTCTGTACATCCTCTAATAGTAGCTGTGAATTTCTCTCGTCACTACAAAAAAAAGAGTAAAAAATTGGACACAAAATTCCATCCACATAAAGGTGGACACAATAAGTGTATGTATAAGAAAACTAACTTGTTCAATTTACACCGTCACATTTTTTTTAGTAGCCATTGACACAGAACTTGTGGAGTATAAGGTTGGATTTGCTAAAAATATTTAATAACAAACAAACAAACAAAGAATCATCAAACACCTATGATGTTAGGTTCACATTTTAAACGAATCCTAGTTTGAAACATGTGCATGTAGGGAGGCAATAAATGGGATACATGCATAAGATGATGTAGACAGCTTAATATAATTGTAAATTGTTAATCAAGATTAATTATTTTTATTGGGGAAAAAAGAGAGAGCAAGTATACCAAATCCAATACGATAATCCACAGCTTTAGTTTAAATATAAATTGATTGATTTGGACCTTTCGTGGGTTGATCCGTTAGTTGAAGCATTCCATTATATTAATCCATTATATTGTTTAATAACTCATTTGTATATTTGTAATGATGAATTGAAAATGCATGTGAAACTCCTTCATTTGTTGTTTTTTTATTGTCATGCAATTTGATTTCTACTCAATTAACATATCAAACATTTACTACAATGCCAAAAACAAGTTATAACAAATAGCGAAAATATAATTTTATTTTTATTATATTTACGTAGTATGATATATATTAGACTTGATCCTCTAAGTCCCTGACACAAAAACTAATTCTTTCTATGCGACAAACATCTAGTTAAGGTGACCCACGTCATTTTATACACACCTTATGTGTATGCTTGTTTAAGATAAGGAAAATCACAATTTTGGTTCATTAGTTGTTTTGCATATGGAATTTTGGTTCTTAGTTATAAGGCAAATACATTTGAAAGCAACTTAATTTCTTAAGGTAGATTGCGAAGATCCCGTGTAACAAGTTTGACCAAAAAAGTATTAATAAGAATTAAACTCTTGACCTTTAAGTACTAGAATCATGTTCCGTCCACTTGACCATCCTTATGCAACAAGTTCAACCAAGAGGGTTTTCGTAACTACTTCATCTATTTTATTTTACTCATAAATAGTTATCAGTCAACTTAACTCTTCTACTAAATATTACAAAATATTAAATTATAAATAACTTGAATAAGTCTTGTTAATCAAATCAGACACGTAAAATATATCTAAGAGAGTAAGGATTCCTTAACTCCCAAGCAAGCAACTAAAGATCAAATTATAATTTCATGCTTCATGACCTCCAAGGTAACAAATATTTAGACACAAGAGTTCCATTTTAGCTGGGACATGAACCCATCCGCTACTGCCAAACAGGGAATAAGAATTTAGGAATCCGAATAAAGCCCAATATTTATTATACCGATTGGGTCGGCAAAAATATATGGACCCGCAACAACTTCCAGCGGACCACATTCAAACCGGACCTATTTATCTTCTTCCCGCGCATTAACCTTTTTCTTTTGTCCTATTTTTTAATAGACTTGATATCTATATCATTGTAAGATTAATTTTGATTTGGCCAGAATCCTACCTTGAAAGGTTGCTTCTATAGTGTCGCCGTACTTGTAGTTTAACTTGAGTGCCCTGACCTTGAAAAGTTGCTCCTATAGTGTCTGTGGTGAAACTCGATTGTTCACAAATTTCACCTTTGTAACCAATTGAGCTGCCTATGCAGACTGACATCTAATTTTGTTTTGTTTTGTTTTTGGCTGGAGACACATTTAAGTACATACTATACTCAAACTAATTCTCATTCATACCGAACTGATTCAATTAAGGAGCAAAGTGCTGGTCATATATTCCCGACCTCTCTAAAAGACGAGAGTGCAGAGCCCCACGCCAACTAAACTGGTTGCATCAATTTTTCTTTGATCCATTGGAACAGCCATTCTCAGCAGTCAGTACGTCATTATTCAAGCCTCCGCGCCACGTAGGACGACCAGGCGCAGCTTCCACTGCAAGATTGGAAAAGTCAAACATTAGCTATAATCTAGCTTACGGGAGAAGCACAAGATTTATGTATGATAAACAAAGTTAACAAACTATGTATATATATATATATATATATAATCGGATGCCGCCACTTTCGTCTACGTTACTATTCTTCTCTAAATTATTACTGTATTATTGACGATAACGTCGTTGAAACATGGACGTGAGCGGCGGCGGTGGTGGGGCGGCGTTGTTAGACGTGGAAGAGGGATGGTGCAGGACGCCGACGCACGACGGTTGTAGGCTTCCGGAGCCCAAGGTGCCCCCTCCGCCGCCGAGGAAGAAGCCGTTAAACGTCAACCGGAAGAAGAAGAAGAAGACAACTCCGCCGGAGGAAGGCTACTTCCAGCCGCCTGATCTCGAGCTTTTCTTCTCAATAATCACGCCCAGGAGGAAATCTGTCATCTAATCACCATCATCATAATATTTTCATAATATATATATATATATATATATATATATATATATATATATATATATATATATATATATATATATATATATATTAACAGTTTGATATATATTATCTTTACAAATTACTGTCAACTTAGTATATATGCTTTCTTTCTGTATGCATATCTTGTCTTGTATTAAATAATACGAACTTATATATATATATATAAACACTTGGGTATTTCTTGGTTCGAATTGTTTTTTTTTTGAGTTCCAAGAATCCCATTTCGGGGTGCATCAGGTAAATTCTACTTTTTTGTAATAATTCGTAAACCAGATCAGAGAGTTGAATTGCATCAGAAAGACTCAATACAATACAAAGAATTACGTCATCCTTTCGGGGCATTTGAATGGGGTTTTGGAGGGTTGAATTGTTGAAGTAGGGTTAGGAACAATTGGGATAACGTTAATGCAGTTTTGTGTGTGTTAATTAGTAGCGTTAATGGGGTTTGGAGAGGGATTTTATTAGTGGTCTTAATTAGTATCCCACATCGGAGAGGTTAGCAACATTGTAGGTGATGTTTGTTGTATAAAAGTAGGCGTATTGGGGGAGCTTAAAGCATGATCCTTCAGGCAAGTTTTAAGGGGATGTGATGAGTGGTGAATGCTCGCAGTTGGTGCGAGAA